ATCCTCTACGCATTTACACGTTTGGTGCATCCATAGCTGATATTTCTCTTTCTAAACAAAAACCAAATCATTTTAGTACAAAAAAATGACGATGCCTGCATGGATCAAAAAATCATACGACGTTCACCATGCTATCGAGCTTGGCATCTTAGCATGCTAACATGTGCTAGCATGTGTGAACTTCCTGAAGCCTTCGAAGGATCCTAAAAGTCTGTTTGTTGAAAATCATCCAGTCAAAGTTGAGACATTTCACTCGATAAGCGAACGTTCTAACCCGCCGGTGACGCTGGAGGGAAAGTCGGGCGATCACCGAAGTCGATGGGTTTCATCCTCTGGAGAGTTTGGATGTCTGAACTGGCCCCAGTCGACCGTGTCTACATCCAACCGTGCAACAAAGCTCACAAACAAGCAGCTGCAGTAAATGAGGCCTGACAAGTCCCAGGATGAAGCGTCTCTGCAGTCAGCTGCAGACAAACCAACTTTTACTCCATCTTTTCTTTCTGCTCTCACCTGCCACCATTTTAAGTGAACATAGGAATAAATAAGGTGTTTTATTTATGTGTCTTTGCTTCTCATTTCCCTGCATCTCCACTTTCTTCAGAAGGTCCACAGCGTCTCAGCCAGCATTTTATTTATTTTTTGCTCCTAGCTCAATTCATTCTGCTCATTCTCTCCTCATGAAAGACGTAGACATTCTTACTTGTTACTCGTTTCCCTCTGTCACAGCTGAAGTGCATTGAAAGTGTACCCAGATATTTTTCTTGATCCTGGTCCCTCTCTACAGATCTCAGCGTTATCAGAAATGATTTGCCCTCTTCCAGTGAAGACACCGCAGAAAAACAAGGTAATATCGACGTTAGTTACCATCATCCTCACCCTGACTCCCCCTTTTACTCTGAGGATTAATTCATCTGTGTTAATCCATGTTATGGTGGTTGGGAAAAACCAAATCCTCCCTCAGTCTTACATCACCCTCACTTGTTCAAACACCATCTTGGCCCACAGTTAAGGTGACACAGGGATATTAGCACCACATTTATTTCTGTCCACGGAGACCAGTAAACAAATGGCTCAGGTCGTGCAAGAGACAGGATAGCTGGTTGTGATAAGCGTGGAGTTGGTGTGTAGCAGAGGTTCAGTGAATTATGTTTGGTCCCCAGATGTATAATCCAGGCATGACCGGACTGACATCTGTTGATACATCCAAAATAAACCTGAAAGTTAAGCAGCAGTTTGTTCAGAGTTGTTTATCACAGACAGACTAACGTAGCGTGATGGGATGTCATTTTCAAAAGCCAGAGTTGGATCTGTGCAGCGTAACATACTGTATATGTTGTGTCTCATCACAATAAGGATGTATTATAAAAGATTTCTTGTAAATGATGAACATTCATGTATGTTGATCCAACTGTAAAGTTTTATACGGTCACTCTGAGATTTGAAGTGTGTGTGTGTGTGTGTGTGTGNTGTGTGTGTGTGTGTGTGTATTCCCCACGTTCCTTCATAAACGGCCACTTTTCCATAAGCTGATGTCTGTTAGCTGTAGTGAAAAGCTGCACATGGGATCAGACGATATTAAATAAACCGTTTGATGATATTTGAGGATGTGGCCCGAGCAGAGTTTCCTCTCAGTGGTTCTTTATACATATCAATATTTAGAGTATTTTTAAAACAGAATGAGCCATCGCTTTAATGAAATCCTGAGTATACGACATTAGCATGTGTGATAAGACTAGAAACTATTTTTATCAGAGAACAGCCTCATTAATTATAGATCATGTGAAATATATAATTACACTGTAAAAGAAAGTTTGCATTGTATACATTTAAAAATAGTTTAGCAGTTTAAAATGGACTCTCATTTGCTCGAAATAGAGTTTCCTTTATTGTAGTAGAAGCGTGGCAGGCCACCAGGCCATGGAGAACTCCTGCCAGGCAAAAATAAAACATTTTAATGGTACAAAAAAATAACAGCAATGACATACTGCTAATATCCAGCACTCTGGAAATCAATAATCATCTGTGTTTGGGTGCATCACTGCAGCACTTTGGAAAGCTGTTCCAAAATGTTAAGTCAACCTTTGTGTCATGGACGCCGTCATTCAGGCTCTGTCATTATATTATTTCCCATTTTAATGCCGATATATATTGTTTTTTAAAAGCTGAGAATAATAATGAGTTCAATCAGGACCAACATGGTGCAGGAAGTTACAACGCTCATGATGCAGTAAACTGAAATAAACTGAGCCATGTTTGTATCATTAACTGTATTCTTGCTAGAGTACAAGTACAGCAAGCATAAAATTTGCTGTTCTGAAGATATAAATGAAAACTGAGGGTGTTCATTATTTCTTTATATTGCAAATTTCTGACACCAGTGGCCCTACTTAGAGAATAAAAACTTGTTTATTGGAAACCAAAGAACAAACCTGGGTTATAGCAGCGAAACACGTAAAAGGATTCAGAAGCTTCTAACTCAAAATGTAAAGTACGTTCTTTAAACCAAAACAGTGCGTAAAAGGTAGAATCTGTTATTATCAGGACGGTGTGTTATCAAAGACGCGAAGCACAGTCACCAGGTTTTCCTCTCTCAGTGGGGAAATGATAGAAATGATAGAAACAGAAAGGCCTTAATTCGCAGCTGCTTTAACCTGAGGCTTTTATGGATGCCATTTCCCAAAGCTGAATACAGCAGTAAAATATCGTAGGTTTTTCACTGCAAAGCCACAGTAAACAAAATTATAATGTTTTCTCCTCATCTTCTTCCTCTTAATTATCTGTTTTTCTGAAATTTGGATGAGCGCCTAATAACTCACAAGGATGTCCAACATTCCACGTTATGGTCATCAAAAAGCAGAGGAATATCAACTCTCATTACATCGAGGACCAATCTAACCCCACTGCAGAGTTCCAATGTGGTACCTGCACGTCATCTGTTTCTGAGGGAGATGGAATTGACTTGTTATAATAGAAATCCAGTAACAAGAGGAAGTGTTGGGTAAATGTGTTTTTCAAAATAATGGAAGTAAGCTATCCGTAATTGGAAGTAGGGGCGTTGTGGGGAAGGGTGGCAGAGTTCCCTTTAGATCGGTGAGTATACTGTATTTAATTTGCAATACTTGTATTTAATTGCCAGGCAGAAAGCACAGGGAGATATGGAGACAGATAGATAGGTTTCTAGGGGCATTTTGACACCCACAGCTGGCGTCAGAGTTCAGCCGACAGAACCCTGCACAGGAAAATAACTGATGAGAGATGGAAGTAGCTGTTTATCTTCCCTTTGTACATCTACACAGCATCCACTGATCAATACGTACTCATGATGTCTGGTTTTCTTCCCATTTCTTTCCTCGCCCTGCCTGAACCTTCTTTTTCACTTTCCTACCTGTCCACCCTTTGTTATTCTCTCACTATATCCTCTTATCTATTTATCTTTCTTACATTCCCCTCATTTCCCTCCATCCATCATGCCTGTTTTTCAGCCGCCATTCAATTTCCCCATCTTCTCTACACTTTCAAATCCTCTCTTTTTGTGCCTGCTTTTCTTTCTTTGTCCCTGAATGTTTTGCATTTGCTCTCCACCGCTCTCCTCTCCCTGCTGTCTCTCATCTCCTGCGTGCACCGCAGTAGCCGCCTCTAAGGCAATCAAACAGTGGGAGTTTTCCACACAGCAGATGTGCTGAACGGATGGTGGGATGAGCGGGAACAGGTGGAGGGTGAGGAGTGCACAGGTTGGATGCTCGGAGGGGAGGGGACAACCCACACCTGTCGGCTTCACGTCGAAAAACGTGACAGAAAAAAGCTACTTTGAAATGTTCAAGGTCAGTTTTCAAACGCCGTTAACTAAAAGTGGAGAAGGATTTACACTGAACAGGACGTTAAGTTGAGAATCGCTCCAGTTTCTCTATTTTCTCCTTGTCAATCGCTCTTTGTGGTGGTTTTGCATCTCATCCAAAGACAACACGGCAAATTGGCCCAAATGGCATCACTGAAGGTAATGTGACAGGCATTATCACCACTGTGTTCTGCATGGCACGCCAGACTTAATTACCTCAGCGCCATGAGTCAAGTGTTTGCCATCCGTGGTCTATTTGCCTTCAGTCACACTAAGATGACTGGGAGAACGCGCCAAGCTCGACATCGCTTTCCTCCCTCCCCCCCCTCACACACGCCCGCCCTCCTTGTTGTTGTTGTTATCGTCGTTACTGCTGCTGCCATGCTAATTAATTAAAGACTGCAATAATAAAGTATAAGTAGCAAAACCTAATGCCAAAGCCCCGGGGACCCAGCGGCATAATTGCACAACAGTTTAATTTGCGAGGATACATTGTAATTAACACTGTGCGGCTTGTAAAGCATCATAATGTGCGTGTTAAATGCTGGAAATGGGCTGAAGACTGCTCCAGTGATTTCTGTCACTTCTGTCACGAAAGAATGAGGACACTGTAATAGGTGAAATGGTTTGTTAGTGAGATGAAAGACGAGTTGTGTTTGTGCATCCTTGTGTTCATGAGTAAGAAAGTGTGTTTGCTCTGTTCAAAATTTAGTCAATGTTTGAATTTTCTCAATATCCACAGTTCTCCGTCAGCCTGCGGCCTCTAACGTAAAGAGAGGCAGAGGAGGAGAATGTCGCCGTCCGTGGTGAAGCTGCTGCACAGAGCTCGCCACAGCACGCCGTCCTCCTACCGGCTACAGGCGCCTGATTTGGCTCTGTCCTCTGTGCATGTATTGATTAATTAAGATTGAGCCGGCGGGTGGCAGGAGACTCGCTTTCATCTGTCCGCCTCTGTCGTTGTCTCCAGGGAAAGAGATCTCAAACATTTACAAAATGACTGCCAGTGCAGATGATATTCAACTTTTATGAGGAGAAAACGATGATGGGAGGGCACGTGGTGTGGTCTGCACGTGCACACACACACACACACACACACACACACACACACNACACACACACACACACACACACACACACACACACACAAAAGACAAACACACATTACCTGTATAGTTTGGCGGTTGTAGACTTTGACTACATGGAAGTTAAAACTGTAAATCCCTTTGCGTGGTGCGATGAAATTACTTCTCTCCTCGTCAAAATTCTTCCCAATGTTTACAAGTACCTGAAAGAAAGAAAGACAGAAAGACTTTCATTTACAAAATTGCTTCATGTGCTCTTGTCTTTCACAGAGGTCTATATTTGCAGAGGTCACTGGGTGTAAAAAAAAAAATATAATTATGGACAAACAAACCTTATAGACATAATCTGCATCATTGAATCCGAAATATTTTCATATAACATGTCTTTGCAAATCGTTGCTCACATGATTGAATTTGTTGTTTATCTGATTCAGCCCACATGATGTCATTATTTTACATTATTTGTCATTAATTTCTGGGATGTCCTTTTGTCCTCTAGAGGACTCGGGGGGCCCCTGTGGCCCCGGACCTCACACACTCAGATTCACTGATAGAGGAATGACACTCTGCTTTAATCGAGGCTTTTCTTCACTGTCAGAACACCCAAACTTTACGAGGGAATGAGAACTTAATCAATCTTTCAAATGAAATTTTCAATTATGGATTTCTGCGGCTAAATGTCTGGTTTTATGGACGGAGGCGAACTGTGGCGCGTAATTGAACGGCAATTTGAGGGAGAATTAACCTTTAACGGCAGGCGGGTAGGACCTCGCCCTCGTGACCTGCCGTTACTAAATTATTTGGCGAGATGTCAGTTCCCATATTGCGTATTGTCAGCACAGAAAGTTAAAATATTCAGGAGGCTTGCCGACCATGATATTCCTTTCACAATCACTTTGGAAATGTATTAGCAATAAAAAAAAATTAAAAAGTCATTTATTTCTGCCCAGACTTTAAGTCGAGTTGAGGAGCAGCTCCCTGCAGCTGAGATGCAGCTATGCGCAAAACCAGCCTCTATGGCACAAAATATTACTCTAATTTAACCTGGATTATTGGTTTTACTGACTTTTTAAAAACAACTCTTATACATCAAGTCTGGAATAATGCATTAGCTATGAGAAAAGAAAGCCACGTTCATATCAGCTGCACTTTTCCTTTAGTCCTGGAGTGGAGCAGCTGTCTGCAGCTGTTCAGATGCAGCTGCGCGTAAATCCAGCCTCTATGGCACAGATTCATCCTCACATCAACCTGGATTATTTGGTTTTACCGACTTTTTTCTAAATTCTGTACAACACGTCTGGACTAACCTGAGCTTTTACTGCATTAATATGCACATTCAATGTTTTCAGAGATGCATAAAAAGTGCGTGGAACAAACCGCAGTTTATTAAATAGTGAACGGCGCTTGTAACACAATGTATTATTCTTTCTGGAGCCTCTGCATATGACATTTTACGCGTAAGCTTCGCAGATACACATTGCAAAATATTTAACATTCATCACTCAGAGCATAAAAAACATTGCATACAGTCCATCTGAAACTTCACGTGCTCTGCATCGCTTCAAAACATTAAACTAAAACAATGACAAACTTACTCTGCCTCTTTAATAATATTATTATTATTTTTACAGGATAATACAAGGTAAAGCATATATATCGTTTGCCTCCTACCCGGTCGAAATAGATGACCATGGTCCGGTTGCTCATCTCGGAGGGCTCGTGGTTGGTGTTCCGGACCGCGGAGAACGCCACCTTGGCGCTGCCGGAGCGCACGGAGATGCCGAGCGCGGTGCCGGTGGGGTCGGATGTGGGGTTGGAGTCGCAGACCACCAGACACTTTCCCTCCAGGACGATCGGTTCCGTCTCGTTCTGCGCGCGGGCCGGACCCGCCGCGAGCCACAAGGCGCTGAGCAGGCAAACCGCCAACATACCGGAGCAGGAGCAACTTCTCCGCGTCGACGGGTCTGATCCCCCTTAAAACAAAGTCAGGTGGAAAGAAGAGTCTCCTGGTTTTCCTTTGATGAAGCGCGAGAGGGTATTTTTTTAAGGTGGCACTCCGTTTTTCTTTTTAACAAGCAAACTCTCTTCTCTCTCTGAGAGGAGACTTTATTTTTTGGGGGGGGTCTTCTCTCCTCTTTTTTTCCAGAATTACTTTATCACCTTACGCTCGGATTCCCACTTTTACTCACTTCTCTTTTTTTTATACTCTTCTTTTCTTTTCTGTCACCTGGAGACACGCGGGTTACGCGGGAGTGGCGCGCGCTGCGGAGGGGCCCTGCACGAGTGACGAGGCAGCAGAAGTCATAGCGCGCGGGAGGGAGCTCCGTCGCGCGCGCCTGAATTATTGATATGTGAGATTCAAACACAAAAGGCTCGCGAGGAAGAGGGGGAGCGGCGCGTGCGAGAAGCAAGATGCTCCCGCCCCTGCTCCAACTCCTCTTCTTCTTTCTCTCTCTCTTTTCTTAGACCCCTCCCTCCATCCCTCCTCCTCCCGGTAACGGAGAGCCATCACCGGATTAGCGCGTGCGCGTCTGTGATGTTTTCCAATCACTGCGCACCCTGCCCGCCCCTCCAGTTTATCTACCATCTCTCCCTCTGTCAACACCTCCCACCTTCGTTTACACCTATTCTATCTATCCATCCATCCATCTATCTATTCTATCCATCTATCTATTCGCCATACAAAATTGCTCTCTTGCCCTGTCTCTCCACCTCTACTCTCTCACCAAGTCTCTATGGTAGTTTACAGGTGAAACTATCCATCCATCCATCCATCCATCCATCCATCCATCCATCCATCCATCTCTCTGCTTCTTTAAATTTCCCTACATCTAACAAACTTGTTATTTCTCTCTCACTCACACACATAAGGTCTCACACAGGTGAACAGCAGGAGCAGCTATCCACCCATCTGTCAATCTATCCATTATCTATCTGTCTGTCTATCCATCCATCCACTCTCTCTCTCTCCTCACTCTTGAATCTTGTTATTTTACAATCTTGTTCTTTATTCCATGTGTGTGTGTGTGTGTGTGTGTCTCTAACACAACATCCTATTAGCAGGCGTGGTTATCTATCTATCTATCTATCCATCTATTTATCTCTCTTTTAAATCAACATACAAACTTGTTCTTTCATTATGTCTATAAACTTCTCTTACCCTTTCGATAACACAAACCATTTTCTCAGCAGTTGTCTCTTTAACTCTAATTTCTACATCTTATATATTTGTTCTTTATGGTCTCTTTCACTCACTGTGTGTGTGTCTGTATAACCATGTCTCTCACACACGCAGTTTACAGGTGAACAGCAGCAGTGGCCATCCCTCCATCCCTCCAATCCTCCCTCCATCTCTCACACCTAACATCTTACTAAAACTCTCTCTCTCTAGGTTAACAGCAGCCACTCAATAAGCACAGTTCTGCACTTATGCTGTAATCCACAAGTCAACATCATCATCATAATCGCGACTGATGCGGGAGACTGTCTGAAAGTGGAGCCATTAAATGCGCTCTGTAACCAGCAGGAAGTCGTATTGGGTGTAAGAGACCAAACCTCTCAGATGTGTAAATACCTCCTGAAGCTATGTTAAACTGCGTTTGCAGTGGGATTGTACAGCAAACAAGTGCAATAAGGCGTGGTGCAGAGGAAATACTGTAATATCGCAACTGTAAGAAATACATGGCTTCTATGAGCCCACGGCAGCTGGAAAAGAAACCACAGGAAGGTGCAGCAATAATTAAGTCCCAATGAGCACCACTGGGAGACGAACCAACGGGGGGGGG